CATGGGCATAACAATAAGTATTTTTTTGGAGCGATTAAGTATTAACTACCCACTCAAATTAACTAATTAGTTAATTTTGTTTTGAATACTAATTGTGTCATCATTCGTATTTACTCCCTCCGTTTCAAAATGTTTGACACCGTTGACTTTTTAGCATATGTTTGACCGTTTGTCTTATTTAAAATAATTTGTGAAATATATGAAAGTATATGTGTACATGAAAGTATATTTAACAATGAATCCAATGATATAAAAATAATAAATAATTACTTAAATTTTTTGAATAAGACGAATGGTCAAACACGTATTAAAAAGTCAACGGTGTCAAACATTTTGAAATGGAGGGAGTATTTAGTTACATTCATTCTCCATATGCTATGACATGGATTAATTAATGGTTCGTGCGTGCATGTCTATAAATATACTTTTGGAACTGGCTATCGTTCAAACCGGAAATTAAAGGAGAGCTGAGCCTGAGCCTGAACCTTTTAGACACACGCATGATGGCTCCTCCTCGTCCAGCTTCTCGCAGTCGCACGCAGCGGCACCGTTTGTCTGCCCCATTCATGGTCCTCCTGTTCCTTGCACTGGCCACCAGCAGTACAGTAGCCAACGCCCAACTGTCCGACAGCTACTACGACGCTTCCTGCCCGGCCGCGCTGCTCACCATCAGGACCGTCGTGTCGGCGGCGGTGCTGCTCGACCCCCGCATGGGCGCCTCCCTCCTCCGCCTCCACTTCCACGACTGCTTCGTCCAGGCAATTAAGCTATCCCTTGTTAATTCTCCTTCCCCTCCGGCCACCAGTCGATCGTCTGGTCGTCGTCGATCTCGATTGATTGGCATGCATGTCTCATGTAGGGCTGCGACGCGTCGGTGCTTCTTGACGACACTGGCAGCTTCACCGGCGAGAAGGGCGCCGGGCCGAACGCCGGGTCGCTGCGCGGGTTCGAGGTGGTCGACAACGCCAAGACGCTGCTGGAGACGGTGTGCCCGCAGACCGTCTCGTGCGCCGACATCCTCGCCGTCGCCGCCCGCGACGCCGTCGTCCAGGTACGCACCTGGTGACCGTCTAGCGGACGGACGATCTCATCAATACTAGCTGACTAGATCGAGCACCTAGTATATATACATGGAGAATATACTCCCTCCGGTTTTTAATATACGACGCCGTTGACTTTTTCTCGCATGTTTGATCATTCGTCTTATTCAAAAAATTTACGTAATTATAATTTATTTTGTTATGAGTTGTTTTATCACTCATAGTACTTTAAGTGTGATTTATATCTTATACATTTGCATAAATTTTTTGAATAAAACGAATGGTCAAACATGTGAGAAAAAGTCAACAGCGTCATCTATTAAAAAACGGAGGTAGTATATTTTAAGAAAAACCTTTTTGAGCATACTATATATGAGTATTGTTTGGTTTCTTTGTGGTGTGCATGCATGCATTGCAGCTCGGGGGCCCGTCATGGACGGTCCTCCTGGGGAGGAGGGACTCCACCACGGCGAGCGCGTCGCTGGCCAACAGCGACCTCCCCGCGCCGTCCTCCACCCTCGCCACTCTCCTCGCCGCTTTCTCCAACAAGGGACTCACCACCACCGACATGGTTGTCCTCTCGGGTACAGTACACGTACGCTTAATTATATGCTAATTAATGATCGCACGATCTCTTTGTCTAAACTAATCCAACACTATCCTAGAAATTAATCAGCACGTACCGTCTAGACGAAAATTAAATTAAGAGAAGAAATTTCTACATCAATATTATCGCTCCGAATGAATCACTCCTTCTACATAGGTCCATCTTTGCCTATTAAACATGGGGTACATGAGGGTAGCAAGTTCAAAATTCTCCGTACGTAGGATATGGGATTTCTCTTGTATATATATATAATTCAAATATGCATGCATTCATGGATGGTCTTGGCTTTGACTCGATCTGCATCTCTAGTGCACATGGCATGTTGCAAAATTGAAGGGTCCCAAATTCATATATCTGAAAGACTGAATATGCATTACATTATTATTAATGATATGCACCGATCAACCACAAAACTAGTGATGAATATGAACCATACAGTAAATTTCCATTTCAAAAACAACAAGCGTGAGTCACATAAAGTAGTTAGATTTTGTACGTATGCGTGCGTGACAGCAGACATAAGTACGAACTCCATGCATATGCATGCATGCTTGTCTGTTCCATACTTCCATTAATAATTAATTCTGACTGGTGTGAGCGCGATCTCCTCAGAAGCGTCCTAATGAGAGTATACGTTCATGCATATGCATCCACACAAAATACAAATCGTGGATCATGCACACATATGGCTAGTAGCAAAAGCTAGTCAAGGTTATGCATGAATTCATATATGATGCGTCGGCTTAATTGTCTGCATTCGCCTCAATTCAATACAGTACACAGTGATCTCAATAGTGATGATCGACGACGGCTGTCACCTTCGCTTTAGTTTGCAACCTCTCGCAACACGTAACATGCCTCAACTATCTGCACAATGATCGATCGATCTCGATCAAGGTGACCACCTACCTAACTCTCAGAGTCTCAGTCGTTCACTATATATCGTGCATGGAACCACATTGCATGCATGTCAAATCATGTTGCCGCGATTGATCGATCACGAGAAATCAACACACATAGATACACAAATTTTAACAATTTCATCCTTTGCAAAAACTAATTTTATAAATAAACGCGGTCAAAACTTATTTCAAAAATAACCTTCGTATGACGCTGAAATTTGACACCTCAGCGCCACGTCAACTGGCGTTGAATGCCGTGCCACTGCGGATAGGAGGCTGATTCGGCGTGCCAACGTGCATTCAGCGCTGTGCTATTTAGCGTCGAGGTGTCTAAGTTCAGCGCTATACGATTTGACGCTGAACAAAAGGATCTTTTTTAAAATAAGTTTTGGCCACAGTTCATTTGTAAAATTAGTTTTTGCAAAGGGTCAAATTCTCACATTTGTGCACAGAGATATGTATAGCTGTCTCACAGGAGATTTTCTTTTTATCCACTATGTTCAGACCGCACCTCCACTTCTTTTTCTTATCACTATTCCGTACGTGCTCATTTCCTTGTTGACATTATTATTGGTGCACGTCAAATCACGAAACGGCTAATGGGCGATCGCTCGCCTGGCGATGGGGGCAGCGATCAATTCGCTCCCCCCTCCCTCCACCTGGTTTCATTTTTTGGCACCGCATTATTTTCCTATTTTAGTAAATTTATGCACCTAAAATTTATACACCTCAAGTTTACACATCTAAAGTTTAGAGACCCAAAGTTTATAAGTCAAAAGTTTATATATCCGATTCAAATTTGAATTTGAATTCAAATATTTTTTATATATAGTATTTCTATATATCTAAATTTTATACACCTAAAGTTTATAGACCTAAAGTTTCTAAGTCAAAAGTTTATATATCCGATTCAAATTTAAATTTGAATTCAAATATTTTTTTAATATATAGTATTTCTATACATCTAAAAGTTTATAGACCTAAAGTTTATAGACCCATTTCAAATTTGAATTTGAATTCAAATAATAGTTTATAGACCCAAAGTTTATAAGTAAAAAGTTTACATACCCATTTTAAATTTGAATTTAAATTCAAATATTAGTTTATAGACCCAAAGTTTATAGGTCAAAAGTTTACATACCCGATTCAAATTTGAATTTGAATTTGAATTCAAATATTAGTTTATAGACCCAAAGTTTATAAGTAAAAAGTTTACATACCCGTTTCAAATTTGAATTTTAATTCAAATTTTTATGGTGTAGTAGTAAGAGAAGAAGGGGAGGTAAAGT